GAGGGGAAAGATGGAGTCAGAGAGGCACACAGAGAGAACACCCTGTGAATGTGAAGCCAGTTGCCTCTGTAAGCCAGGGAACACGAAAGATTACCAGCAAACCACCAGAAGCCAAGGGAGAAGCATAGAACAGATTCTCCTGACAACCCTCAGGAGGAACCAACTCGACCAACACCTTGACCTCAGGCTTGTAGCTTCCAGAACTATGAGACAATACATACCTGTGGTTTAAGCCACTCAGTCTGTGGTGCTTTGTTACAGTGCCACCAGCAAACTGATACCTGAATGACTTGGACTCAAAACCTTAAGATCATTTGCTTTCTGAATCCTTCTCATTACATCCACTCAAACTGCTATCATGCCCCATCAATTCTAATGTGGTGGCTTCTCTCAAACTTACCATTCTCTTTTCATTCCAATTGATTATATGTCCACATATTCCCAATCTTTAAAGCCTCAGTTTAAGAGCTGCCTGCTTCAGGGAGGCTTTCCTGGTTAGCAGACTTAGAAGCTAAATCTCCCACCTTTGACTTGCCAGAGTGCTGCACCAATGTCTTTTTAAACATCTACATAGTATTAGGTATTTGTGAGCCTATTTACTTCCTCAACAGGTGCTAAAGAAGCAGAGGACAGCCATTGCATCTTCTAAGCCCTTGAGAGCTTCCTAAGTATCCAGCACCTTGCCTAACACAGAAAGGGCAAGTAGGAGATGATAACAGCACAGGAAGTTTCCTGAACAGAACGGGGCTTACAGAATCCTAAAGGAAAAGAAAGAACTGGGCTAGAACATCTCTGCAGACACATCTACTTTGATGAAGAGGATTATTCCATTTTCAGCAGCTGAAATGAGCTGGGAAATAAGGCCCGTAAATAAGGAGGAAGACCTTTGTTAGTCCTTCTGCAGCTTTATTATTTGAAGCATCTGTTTCTGCCAAAAGCTAAAAGGCATCAAGAAGGAGCTGTGTTCGTCTGATTGACTTCCCATACAAATTGTTCCCATCTTAGCCCAAGTGCAGTGGCTCATACCTGTAATCCCAGCACCTTGGGAGTCTGAGACAGGTGGGTCACCTGAGGTCAGGAGTTTGAGACCAGCCTGGCTAACATGGTGAAACCCTATCTACTAAAAATACAAAATTAGCCAGGCGTGGTAGGGCATGCCTGTAATCCCAGCTACTCAGGAGGCTGAGGCAGGAGAACCGCTTGAACCTGGGAGACAGAGGTTGCAGGGAGCAGAGATCAGGTCATTTCACTCCAGCCTGGGCAACAAGAGTGAAACTCTGTCTTAAAAAAAAAAAGAAAAGAAACAAATTGTTCACATCTATCACCTTCTGTGCTCAAGGGAATCCACTGAACTAAACAAAGAGAACTGTGACTAAGGTGTCTTCGCACCGCACTGCCCTCTACAACTGTAGTTTTCAACTGGAGCAATTCTGCCCCCACAGGGCATTTGGTAGTGTCTGGAGACATTGATTGTCATGAGTAGGAAGTCAGTGCCACTGGTGTGTAGCGGGGAGAGGTCAGGATTGCTGCTAAATATCATCCAATACACAAGACAGAATCACAAAAAATTATCTGTAAAAATCTGTGATGCTGAGGTTGAAAATCCTTGCTCTAGAGAAAGCACTTGCCTTGTGGGTACGTGTATGTGTGCATCCTAATACACTAAACACCGATGGAAGGTGAACATCCCTCCATTCAGAAACTGGAATGAGTTTCACTGGGTCCCACTCTATCCCAAAAGCAAGTCGGGCCATCAGAAAACTTCCAGGAAACCAAATGAAAAATGATGTGCCTAAATGTAAAGTTCTATTTACCTTGAAGTTTCTGACTTGTTGCTAAATTCTTAGTCTTTCCACATGGTTTCCAAACCATAAGCATTCTTTATTATTTAAATTGAGTGTTTACAGAGTTTAATCTCTAATATTTGCTTATTATTTTTCCTAACAAAAATAAATCCCTTTTGTATTCTTAACACTGGCACTATAACACACATTTAGCTAAACAATTACAGCTTTTTAAATGAGTATAGCAGGCCTCTGGAGTTTAGGTTGATAAGCGTGTATTTAGGAAGGTGGTTACTGACAGATAAAGCTGCAGAAATCTCCTGCGCTTCTTTGTTACAGGACACAGCAAGGGCAAGGTACCCTTGAAGACAGAAGAGAAACAACCATTTCATCAAGATGCCAGAATCAATAAGTGTCTGCAGCTGGAAATGAATGGGTGCCTGGTCAGGAGAACAAAAGGTAATGAGGTCAAAGGATGTCGGCAAATGGCACTCCACACCCGTGGAGGCTGTCAGCCAGTGTGCTTTCTCTTCAGCCCATGTCAGCCCCAAAGCAGGTATTTTACCCTACAGAGAAAACCATGAGGCAAACCAGTGTGAGCTATAAGTGGCGAGCACAGCAGAGTCTATGCCACTCCTCCTTGGGCCAGCTGTGTTTCTCGGGATGGACACTGCCGGGACCTGAGCCTGCTCGAGGTGATTCCTGGCAGCTCCACAGGGAAAGAGGGAGCTAGGCTTTTCTGGGAGCAAGAAGAAATGGAGAGGATCGGAGAAGTTTCCAAATCAAGAAGACACAGGTTCCTATTCCAGCTCTGACAACAGGCCAACTTGTTTGGGTTGTTTGAAGATCTTGGGGAGATCACTAAGCTATGCACTGGAAAGTTAAAGATGGAGACACAGTGCCACTTCTGAAAGGCTCACCATCTAGTGACAGAGACAGCAGCTGTCAACACACTGGCAACTGTGGTCCCTTATCCACTACATCGTGTGATGAAACACAGAGAATGAGTACTTGGTCCAGTGATCTGCTGTGTGACCTTGAGCAGTGTACTTACCCTTTCTGATCCCCAGTTTTCTCATCTCTAGGATGAATGCCTGGACTACATGATCCCCAGTGCCCTTCTCACTTTAAAGGCTATGATGAAGTTCCCCTTTTTCTATGGAAGCCCTTGTATAGCTTCTAAAAACAAACAAACAAACAAAAAGTGAAACAAAACAAAACAAACCTGCCTTTCTCTGTTGATGGCTGAGGTCAGTGCAGTCAGAAAGCAGCACTGTGGACTGACACAGACCTCAAAATAAAAACAGAACAGCCTTTTATCAGCGGCTAAGGGTTAAGATAATACTAGTATGTGACCTCTCAGTGGACTCTCCAAAGTGTTCCAGTTTGAAGGTGGCCACTGACTTGCAGAGCAACGTGAACCTAGGCAATCTAAGCTTCGGAAAGTCTACAATGACTTAGAAAAAGAGCTGCTATTCGAGGACAACTGATCTATAATACATACCTTATATAGCAAGCCTAGGTCTTCCAAGAGTCCCACAGGAGTGGAATGAAGAAACGGCTTTGTAATTCCCTTTCCTGTCACTCATAAATTACTCATATCAAGGAACCAAACTCAAACCCATTAGCAACAGAGATGAGGGCCATGTCATAGTCAGGTAGCAGGTACAAGTGAAGAGATCTGACCGGCAGTAAATGTCAGCATCTGTATTTGGTACTGAGGGTTCCTGGAAGCACCCCCAAAAGACAGAAAATATTATTAGAAGCACTTTTGTTCACACCAAATCATTTCACTCAATTACCGTTTACTCACTGAAAAACCAAAGCTACAGCAAGTGGTTACTAAAGAGCTATAGGAGCAGAGTGAACAGAGCAGAACCATGTTTCTCTTTGTCCTGAGGTGCAGCCTTAACACTGTTAAGCTCTCAGCATCCTGTATGTCAACACATCGATTAGTATAATAGAACCAAACTGAGTTTCAAGCAACAAGGAGCAACTTGAGTTCAGCATCTTCATCTTAAAAATCTATTCCCTGGAGTAGCTTTAAGATAAAGTAAACCCAAATAAGTCACTGAAATGGTTCAAGACAGCCCTGAAAGAGTAGATGTCTGGGTTCGAGGAGAAAAGAATGTCCCCACGGTAAGAAAATGTGACAGTAAATCTAAATGTACTAGAAAGCAAAATTAAAGAGTGTTTATTTACATTATAAATTCAGTTGGTGATGGTCCCTAAGACACAAAAGAGAAAAAAATAAGTTACAGGAAAACGATCAAAGAACAATTCCATTTTTATATTCATATGTGTCTGTCTCTCTCTCTCTCTAATTCTGGTTGGAAGGGTCTAGCAAGCTACACAGTAACCGTTAACAACTGTATCTCCAGGGAGGAGAGGGGAATTGAAGCTGACAAGGTAGCAGCCAGAGGCACTCACTTTCCTTAAGACAAGATGTATTTATATATTACTTGAATAACTCAAAGCAAGCATTGGGGTGTTCTTTCACCTTTCCAAGAGAAACCAATCATTTCAACTATCATTCAGTTCTGAAAGATGTATCTTCCATTTCAGGACCACGCCTAGTACATAAATAATGTACACCTGTTCAGGCCACACCTGTCCTCTCCCTTTTAACACTCTCCTTGTGATGTTATGTGGTTTCGATTGCCGTGTGCAGCATCCTTTAAGAAGGTGTTTGGAGGAGTGATGAGGGATAATACTGAAATGACAGGTTATGCACGCAGAGCACCTGAAGCCTTTAAAACAGCCCAGCTTCTCCTTTCAGCCGGATCCAGCCAGGGCTGGGCATGCCCCAGCACCACACACCCCAGCCCTGGCAGGAAGGGTCCTTTCATTACATATCTTAATCAACTTATGGATTGGTGGGGGGCGGTGGTAAGAGGGAAAGGGAATGATGGCTGAGATGGGGGGGCAAGACGGATGGCAAGTCTCAAACACAACAAAAAATTCAAAATGCAATAACAATCAAAAGAGACACACGCCCCAGAGCTCAGCTGTGCACCGCTTCCGACTCGGTGGTGAAATTAAAGATTCTGAATGAAGTCTCGGTTCGATGGAAACCCAGACTTCACAACACGGAGCTTCTCGCACCGAGAACATGTCTGCCTGGCTTTCGATTGATCATTCCCGGTTAGGTGGCCGAGCCCTACGGTGCCATTCCAACTTCTGCAACCATGCACAGTGATCGATATTTATAATTACCTTTTTCCTTCACCATGGCAACCGGGTCCTCCGATGAGCAGGACTGAAGAAGGAACCAGGAATAAACTCTGGGAGTGGAAGCGCGCCTCAGCAGACAGATCCACGGGTGCAGGGGCCGCCAGGAGAAGCCCCGTGCAGTCCGGGTCTGCGGTCTGGAGTCCCGCCCCGCCTTGGCGGCCCCGCTCCCACGACCGCCCCGCGATCGCCCCCGCGCTCTCCGCCGCCCGTCTGCCTAGCTGCAGCCGCGCCCTGCTCAGGGACTCTGCCCTGCGGCTGAAACCACTCGCTACAGCTGCTCCTGTAACAAATGCAAAATTCCACTGTCCTAATCTCTAGTCACTGACACCACCTTGTATTCCTCGCTCCGCGGACGGGTGACGAAAGGCTCCCGAGCGCTGCCCCCCTCCCAGAGTCTGATAAATGATTGCCAGGAGGAGGAGGAGGACCAAGCACCGGTTGGGGACGGTTCCAATAAGTAAAACTAGTCAATGGTTAGCTTATTGGCTCCCTGTGACGGTCGCTTTCAGTTTTTACTACAGCTTCTTTCAGGCAATCTAGATACATAAAATTGGCCTTAATGTAAAACACAAACAGAATAACGATGCTAATTCCAATTTCAACTTCACTTTCTTATGAAAAATGAATAATGACATTTGGTTTGCTCGACTGCTCCCCGCTGTAGTTTTCCCGAACGGGGTTGGGGGAAGGTAGAGTCAGGGAGAGACAGCCGGGAGGAGGATCTTTCAGGATTCGATTTCTTATCCAGGATCCAATTCAGGATCAAGGTTAAAATCCGACTGATCTAGTTAGGGAGGATTTTGACTTCCCCCTTCTCCCTCTTCTTCACTGGAGTTTTTAGACAAGCCCCTTGGATGTGCATATGCCAGGGAGGAACTCCAGTCATAATTAAGGAACAAACATCCTGGTCCAGTATGGTGCAACCGCCAGGACCAGCCTAAGCCTGACCCCACAGAAGCAGCTCCTGAGGAGGCTTTTGATTCTGACCCACAGGGTCACAGGTGTCCTGTGACCTGTCCTGTTGTCCTGTGAACTGTCCTGCTGTCCTGTGACCTGTCCTGCTGTCCCGTGAGCCTGGGACTTTCTGGTTCACAAAGCCAACGCCCACCCGACTCCAGCATCTGTCTGCCAAATCCAGCTACGGCTCTGATCGCATGTCCTATACATCCACCACGCAGGAGAGATGGGATGAGCAAGAGACAAAAAGACAGACGTCACAAGGCGGGGAGAGCAGCAGATGGCCAACACATCTTTCAGAACCAGAATGCACAGCCAGTATTAGATGGTATTTACTGCAAATATTGTAACATGTTGGGTCTAAGACAGCCAGGAGAACCGAAGGGAATGAAGTCAATCAACCTGCCTCCTCTTTGACTGAGAGGGTGTGTATGGCTGAAATCAACTACATTTGGTGGGTCTGGGGAGAAGGAAGAAAAATGCCCACTTCTTCATATTCATCTTGTGCAGGTCTTCATTGCTGGTTTTCTGATGTGTAACAGTAGCACATCTGAAGCAGCTGTGACATTCCTACATCTGTGACTCAGGGCTTTACTATTAATAGCTTGGGTGTCTCAGGCTGTAAGTAAGAGCTAAGTCCCCTCCAGCTCCTGAGTTGTCTTTTCTATGACAACATACTTCCCCCACACCACTCCCTGAACCCATGGCAGCCCCATCAGGTCATGGTTTTCCTAAGTCAGCAGCCAGCTGGAGTATAAGCACTGAAGAGCTTTTAAGCGGCTTCTCTAACCTCCATTCATAAATATGAGCCAAGCATGTAAGCAATTCGACCTCCAATCCAGAGGGATGGCAGAGTTCAAGAGCATCCAGGAAACGAGCCCTTCACATTCCCCAATTTTCATGGCTAAAACTGCACTTGTCTACTTTACCCACCCCTAATCACCCTCAGAGCCTTTAAGGAGATGCTGACAAGCAAAATTAACTGCAGAGCGCTGGAATAAGCTGCCTAGCAGGTGAATCTATTTTATTATATTTTTGCTACTTAAATACATCAGCATCTCACTTAAGCACTTCTCTCTAAGGCTCTCCTGTTATTCAGCCCAAAGCTAAGGAAGCAGCTTTCTTTCTCTTTCCCTGCCCGCCCCCCACCCCTCCTCACCCTTGTGAGAGTTTGGTTTCTAGAGCAAACCCGATCATATCTAAGTGTTCCAGATATTGTAAATGCCATTAGCTCAATTTTTCTTTTACTTGGGCTGGCAGTTTTAAACTCTGAGATTTAAGTTTACTAACTAAACTGGTCTCTTATTAGTTCTGAACCTACCTGTATAACTTGGTGGATAAATAGCACAGAAACGGAGTTTAGAAAGGCTCTCTGGCAGCTTTGGAGACTAAGCTGGCAGAGTAACAGCTGATGCTTATTCATTTTCAGAGAAGTCTTTCCTAAAGGAAAATACTACATAGTGGTTCGGAGAGATTTTCCCCCCTCCTGTGTTTTCCATGGAAAGAATTTTCCTGTACCACAGTCAAAGTGAATGAGTCACCAGCATTTAGTTGCTAAGTAATAGTCATATGGCAAAAGTCCCCCCACCAATCAGACACTGCTAGTTTGGGATAAAAGTATCCACTCTGCACTTCTAAGATAACTAAAGAGGGTATTACTAAAGTTATTTTTGGAATGTGGGAAAGTAAAACCAAATTGTTTTTGTCTCTCTGCCTCAGGGCAGAATTGCTAAAGAGCTTAAGAACAGACGCAAAGCATCAGGCACTTTCTACTTTACAGCTAATGCTGCAAGAAGCGCAGCAAAATAAATCAAGAAAAAAATGAAATGCATAGTTCATAAGAAATAACTTTTTATTATTTCTTGAGATGATTTCCAAAGAAATTATCTCAATCTCATTCCACTCAGGTAAGTAGTCCTAACACAGACACCAACCCATGGTTTTATCTGTTGGTTTTTGCCCCATCAGACTGATGCACTGCCTCCTTCTCATTCACTCACAACATAAAGCAAGGCTTGTCCACAAGTGACCAAAGGACAGAAACGATTTTGTTGGAGAGAAAAGCTTGTTAGCATACAGCCACTCCTGGCAAAAATTCTAGCATACATCATTTCAATAGTGAAAGCAATGAAGAGGGAAACGTTACAAGTAGAAATGAGCAGCCGGAGGAGTCCTCTTCCTCATTGCTCATTCTCCTCTACAGTGCCATGGGTCACCTACTGCATGTGCACCTGTAGTGCAGGAATTTCAGGATCCCTCTGTGGGGCTGGGACACCAGGTGTCCAGATGCCACCCCCCAACACCACTGGACTCTTTTTCTTTTTTTGAGACAGAGTTTCACTCTCACCCAGTCTCGGCTCACTGCAACCTCCGCCTCCCAGGTTCAAGTGATTCTCCTGCCTCAGCCTCCTGAGCAGCTAAGATTACAGGTGCCCACTACCACACCTGGCTAATTTTTGTATCTTTAGTAGCGACAGGTTTTGCCATGTTGGCCAGGCTGGTTTTGAACTCCTGACCTCAGGTGATCCGCCCACCTTGGCCTCTAAAAGTGTTGGGATTACAGGCGTGAGCCACCACACCCAGTCTCCATAGGACTCTTTAGCAAAAAGCACACTCAATTCTCTAGTAGAATTCAGCTGAAAGGAACCTGGATACTAAGTTCCTATTTGCTTTCTACTTAGTGTTGGCATCCATCAATCTCACTTCAGAGATTTATGGGACATCTGCTGTGTGCCAGCTACTGGACTGGGAGGACACTGCCCTGAAGGTGCTCACCATCTAGCGGAGGAGATGCAGGCACACTAATATTCTCAACGAAATGAGGAAGGTACTAAGGCAGGAGTAGGCACGGGGTCCAGGGCAGTGGTGAGTCCAACCTGGCTTCCGGGAGGATAAAGGAGGTGGGTAATGACTGGCCAAGTGAAGAAAGAAGGGAAAGTCATTCCAAGTGGAAGTAACAGGGCAAGAAGGCATCCAGTAGTTCACTATTGGTGGAGAACAGAGAGAGGCTCAAGATGAGGCTGGGCGACAGGTGACAGAGGGACCTCAATGCCACTCTAAAGAGAATGGACCTTAGAAATGTTGTGGTTAAAGTCTCAAACCTAAGCTACCTATTTCTTTCAAAATGCAATTCAAAAGGCTCTGTCTGCATTGCAAGGTACACCATTATCTGTTTCCAACCGTATTGCTCCTCCCTCCATGTGGGTTGTGTTGGTGCGTGCATTTTTGGTGTTTAGCAGATGGTTTGACATGGAATAGATGCACAGGAAGTGCCTGTGTTTACTCATTTATATAAACATTTCTCAGATCAACAGAATAAAAAGCCATAATCTCACATACATTATTTTAAGAAGCACAGACCACTTGGGATTGGCTTATCCCTTCTATTGTAATGGCTTCAAGTCCACAACTATGTTGTAAGCTCTCTGAAGGCAAGGAGGGTTTCATTTACACTAGGCTGATAAGAGTGTGGTTTGCAAGGCTGGACGTGGTGGCTCACACCTGTAATCCCAGCACTTGGGGATATTGAGAGGGGTGGATCACTTGAGGTCAAGAGTTTGTTGAGCTGAGACTGCACCATTGTACTCCAGCCTGGGCAACAAGAGCAAAACTCTATCTCAAAAAGAAAAGAGAGAGAGACAGAGTCTTGCTCTGTTGCCCCAGCTGGAGTGCAGTGGTGCAATCTTGGCTCACTGCAACCTCCACCTCCTGGATTCAAGCAATTCTCCTGTTTCAGCCTCCCAAGTAGCTGGGATTACAGGCATGCACCACCATGCCTGGCTAATTTTGTATTTTTAGCAGAGATGAGGTTTCTCCATGTTGGTCAGGCTGGTCTCAAACTCTTGACCTCAGGTGATTTGTCTGCTTCAGCCTCTCAAAGTGCTGGGATTACAGGTGTGAGCCACTGCACCTGGCCCTCGAGACATCTCTTTGAAAAAAAAAAAAAAAAAAAGCGTGGTGGTTTGCAGATCACCAGGGACAGAAATACAAACGGTGCTTCAAATACAGACACCTGGTCCCCACTCCAGGTCTGATAGCTCAGATTCTCTGGGAAGGAGGCCTGAGGCACAGCCCACTTCCACGATGATTAAGGAACCCCCCTTGCTAATAAGCTGGTTTGCAAACCACGAGGATAGACTGAGATTTACAAACAGCTGTATACCATGCCATCACTTCTGAAAAACAATCCCTAAACTCTGTTGGCCAAAATAACAATCAGCTGGACATTCACTGCAATCTTAATGAGAATTTACTAGAAGTGGTGATTTCAAAGTTTCCTATAGTCCAGGGCAGACTCCTACATGTCTGACCCCTCTCGATCCTACTCACTCTCATGTCCTCAACAGACAATTCTTAGGATTTTTTCCATATCAATCTCGTAGAATCAATGCCCAGCAAAGTTCTTTTCCTTGAGTTCTTAAAGTAGAATTTTTTTTTTAGCCTGTCACCCAGGCTAGAGTCCAGGTTCAAGGGATTCTCCTACCTCAGACTCCTGAGTGGCTGGGATTACAGGCGCGTGCCACCACACCCAGCTAAGTTTTGTATTTTTAGTAGAGACAGGATTTCAGCATCTTGGCCAGGGTAGTCTTGAACACCTGACCTTGTGATCCACCTGCCTTGGCCTCCCAAAGTTCTGGGATTACAGGTGTGAGCCACTGTGCCCGGCCTTAAAGGAAAATTATTTTGTGGTTGTAATGGTTCTCCATGGTCTTTTTCAAAAGCCATTTCTGAGTTTGGATCCAAGCAATATGTTACAGCTCAAGAAAAATCACGAAAATTACTATAGTATATTTAAAGCTCCCTATAAACAATCCAGTAAGGATATAAATGACAGAGTGAACAAAAAATAAGTCGTTTTTGTACAAGAGCAGTGAAACCTATTACTAGAATTCAAAGGATCTTGGGATAGTAAAGACAGTTTAACTGACTTTAGCCTAACGTCAGGCTCATGAGTTCACAAGTTCACAAATGTTCTCTAAATTATTTGGGAAAAGGCCGTTTTTAAAAACAGTTTACTACTAGCTTTCTCTCTTTTTTGTAATATTTCCTAGACAGAAATCCAGTTACTAGGATATAAAAATAGTTGCTTTCTTCTTTTTGTTTTTTTGTTTTTTTGAGACAGAATTTCGCTTTTGTCGCCCAAGCTGGAGTGCAGTGGCATGATCTCGGCTCACTGCAACATCCACTTCCTAGGTTCAAGTGATTCTCTTGCCTCAGCCTCCTGAGTAGCTGGGATTACAGGTGTGCACCACCACGTCCAGCTAATTTTTGTGTTTTTAATAGAGACAGGGTTTCACCCTGTTGGCCAAGATGTCCTCGATCTCCTGACCTTGTAAGCTGTCTGCCTCGGCCTCCCAAAGTGTTGGGATTACAGGCATGAGCCAATGCACCTGGCCAAAAAATGGTTGCTCCCTCTCAGGTAGAATTGCAGTGCCTTCCCTGACAACACTCCCCTCTTTCTGGTACTTACCACCAAGTGCTCTGAAGTTTACTATGTTGTAATGAAGGATGGACATCTCTATTTTTGCAAA